GAGAAAAAACCACATCAAAACACACAAAACCACCCCTAAAACAGCCCAAGCCAACCCCGAAGCACCGGCTCGTGCTGCAGCTCTGCCTCATTCCAGAGCCTTGGATCATCTGGGAGCACGGGATCCCATTGGCATCACAGCTCCTGCTGCTTGGGAGCAGATCCTATGGGATCTGCATCCAGATCCGGATGCTCCACACATGGACACGGATCCAGGTCCGGATCCGATTGTAGGGGGGAGCGCGGACACGGAATTCCATGGGGCTGGAAGAGCAGAACTGGGCTCCCGGACGGGGGGCTCTGGGGTGGGGGGGAGAGACACCATTGCCCACCATTGTCTCCATTGACCCTATTGGCCCCCATTACCCCCTTTGCCCTCCCCATTACCCCCATTGCCCATTACCCCCAATGCCCCCATTACCCCCATTGCCCATGTTACCCCATTGCCCCCCCATTACCCCCCATTACCCATTACCCCCATTGCCACCCGTTACCCCCATTCCCAACTCCCTTCCCACTGCTCCGCACTGGATCCAAAGATGGGGCTGGGGATGCCCCGGTCCCGCCGCACATCCGGTTGCGGCTCCCATTGAGGCTCCAGGGGCCGCCGGTTCGAGCCCCGAGCTCCCGGGTTCGGGTCCCGAGCTCCCGGGCTCGAGCCCCGGTGCCCCCGGAGCAGCGGCGAGAGCCGGGGGGGGAAGCCCCGGTGCCCCCCCCACGGAGCAGCGCCCCCAGCACCAAGCGGCGCCGCTCCCGTAGCAGCACCGGGGCCCGGTGCAACAGCGCCCCCAAGCGGGCGGCCAGGACCCGCGCTATGGGGTGTTGGGGGGCGGGCACTGGGACCCCCAAGTTATGGGGCGCCCCCTTTGTGCCCCCAAGTTATGGGGCGGGGTCTGGGGGTCCCCGTTTGTGCCCTCCCCCAAGTTATGGGGCACCCCCTTTGTGGCCCCCAAGGTATGGGGCAGGGTCTGGAAGTCCCCTATGGAGCCCCCCAAGTTATGGGGCACCCCCTCTGTGCCCCTCTCAAAGTTATGGGGCACCCCTATAGTGCGGGGGTGCCGAGGCCCCTCCTCACGTGACCCGAGGTGACCTGGAGGGCGAAGAGCCCGCGGGGGTGGGGCAGGAGGCGGTGCCGGGTGATGACCACGTGACGCGGAGGGGAGAGGGGGCTGCGGGGGGGGGCGCGCAGGGGCCAGGATCAGGCCCGGGCCCCTCCCCATCCCCCCGCGCCCGCCCCAGTTTGGTCCCGTCCGGTTCCCGCCAATTTCGCCCATCATGGCGGAGCTGGAGCTCCCCTCCGATCCCGACCTGCGCAGGTTGGAGCCCGCGGGACCCCCCAGTGGGGGCTTTTGGGGTCCTGGGGGGGTTGGGGTGCTCCTGACCCCCTCTCTTTGTCTCCCCCCACCTCCAGGCTGTGCACGGGGCCCTGTGCCCCCATCCGGGAGTACATCATGGGCCACGTGCGGCACCGCGGTGAGGGGGGCACCCCAACATCTGGGGGGAGGAACTGCAACATCTGGAGGGACCCCAAACCTCGGATCGGTCCCTAAAATACATGGCGGGGGGGGGGGGTGTTCCTGTAGGAATGTGAAGAAGATCAAAGGGAACCTGCGGTGGTATCCGCTGCACCCCAAAGTGGGGGGGGACACCCAAGCTCATTGGGGAGCCTCCAAAACCCCTCAGGACCCCCCCAAACCCCTTTGCTTGTTAGGACCCCCCCAAAATTCCATTGGGATCCCAACAACCCCCCAGCACCCCCCAATTCGCCCTTGTGGCCCCCCCCCCCCAACCCCTTTTCTTCACCCAGATCCATGCAGAGGAGCCCAAATTCCTTTAGGACCCCTCCAAATCCCATTGGGATCCCCAGGAACCCCCAGTTCCGTCCCATGATCCTCCCCGACCCCCCCCTAACCCTTCCTTTAACCCCCCCCAGGTTTCCTCCTTAACTCGGGGCTCAGGTACCAGCACCTCAAGGAGATTCAGGTTTGGGGGCGGGGTGGGGAGCGTTAGAGGGTTTTGGGGGGGCTCTGTGGGGTTTTGGGGGATCCCACAGGGACCAAAACACACCTCTGCACCCCAAAACCATCCCCCCTGCATCCGAAAACACCCCCTCTGCACTCCAAAACCATCCCCCCTGCACCCCAAAACGCCACCCCCGCACCCCAAAACCATGCCCCCTGCACCCTAAAACCACCCCCATGCATCCCAGAAGCCCCACGGCACCCCAAAACCGCCCCCCTGCACCCCAAAACAGCCCCCTGCACCCCAAAAGCACCCACTGTGCACCCCAAATCTACCCCCACTGCACCCCAAAACAACTCCCTGCACCCCAAAAGCACCCACTGTGCACCCCAAAACAACCCCTCTGCACCCCAAAACCACCCTATGGATTCCCCCATGCACTCAAAACCCTCTCAAGGACCCCCCCCGAATCCATCCTGCAGCCCGGTTTCCCCCCTTGCAACCCAAAACTGCCCTGGGCCCTCCCCCATGATCTTTTCCTCCCCACTCCTGAACCCCAGAACCCTTTAGGGACCCCCTCTGTACTTTAAACCCCCCTGGGTTTCCTTCTGAAGTGGGTGCTGGGCTCATAGGGGTCCTTAAAGCCCCCCCCCCCTCTCCCTAAACCCAGTACTGACACCTTTCGGGGTGCCCCCCCCCAACCTCCATGGTCCCTGCAGCCCTTTTGGGGTCCCCAAAATGGGATCTGGACCCCTTTGGGCCCCCCAGACTCCCCTCAACGTTTGGCTTTGGTGCCCCCCTTGCCACCAGGTTGATGCTGGAGGCCACGGGGCTCTCAGGGGCTCGGGGGGCCCAGATCCAGCAGGGCCCAGAGCTACGGGGCAGCCCCATGGACTCCCCAGAAACTGCCCTGGGGCCACTGAGGAGGCAGCTGCAGGAGGGGAAGCAGCGGCTGGTGGGTGCCAACGGGGGAATATGGGGATTTGGGGGGGTCCTGATGGGCTTGGGGGGGTGGGAAGTGGAATTTGATGGTTATGGGGAGGGGTTGGGGTCCCTAAAGGGCCCCAGCGCCGCTTTTTGGGAGGGATGAGGGATATGTGGTGGTCCTGGAGGGGGATTTTGGGTCTATAGGGGATGACATGGGGGAGTTTGGGGCTTTAGGGGGAATTTTGGGGGTGCTGGGAGGGGGATCTGGGGGTTATGGATGGGTTTGGGGTTAAGGGAGAGGCTTGTGGGGAAATATGGGGCGATATTTAAGGTGTTTGGGGGTCTTGGGGGATATTTGGGTCCCTCCCATGGCTTTGGGGTCCCTCATTTCCTTGTGTCCCCCCCTCCATCCCTTCCAGTCCCGTCGCTGGATCCAGCTCCGGGCTCTGGCCGCATCCAATGGGAAGCTCCAGGCGCAGCTGCGCCCCCTGCAGGCCCAGGTGAGCAAAGACGGGGAGATCGAGGGAGGGGCGGGGGGGCGTGTCCTCACCCCTTTGGCCACGCCCCTTTCAGACCCTAGGGAGAAGGGCGGGGGCTGCTGGAAGCGCTGAGCATGCTGGACTAAAAGGACACAAATTAAGTAGGCCCTACATTAATAACATGTAAATAAGGAAGTAACGTGTAAATAAGGTCAGCCCTACATGAGGTGCGTGTGAATAAAGCAGGTCCTACGCTAATTGCAGGTAATTAAGGGGGGGGTTAATGATGGTGGGATGAGAAATGGGGAGGGTTGGAGGGGGAGGGGGAGAAATGGCAGGAATGTGGGGAATGGGGGTGGGAAAAAGGGGGAGGGGGAATGGGGGGCATAAGGGGGGGAGGGGAGAAAATGGGGATGCGGTGGGGGAGGGGAAGAGGGGACAAATGAGGGGGAGGGGCGAGGAAAGGCCCCATATTCAGCCCCATGGGCCGTAGCCTGGCAACACGCAGGAAGCGGTACGCGGAGACCCCGTTGCTAGGCAACAGAGGCAACAAACCCGGAAGTGCGGAGAGCATCGCGGAACGGGGATGGGGAAAGGCCGAAACACGTGGGGGAGAGGGGGCCTCGATTTCCTGTGAAATCTTTATTTATTGGTTAAGTTTCCTTTTTATACATTCTTAAGGTGACCCCTCTCCCCTCCCCCCCCCCCCCGCTATTTCCATCGGTGTCACTAAGGCTTCGGATAGACCCCCCCCCCATCCCCCCCTTTACCCTCCCCTCTCCCATCCGGGGTATAAAGAGGGGGGGAGGTGCCACCCCTCCACACCCCCGGGTGGGGAATGGGAGGTTGTGTCCATTGGGTACCCTCCCCCAGCCCCTCGTTTTGGGGTGCTGGGGGGGAGGTGAGGCCCATCGCCCCCCTCCCCCACAGACAGCTCATCAGCAGGCACTTAATGATCCCCCCCCCCCCTTCCCCACCCCCATTTTTGGTTACATGAAGCCCCGAGGGAGGGGAGGGCTCTCCTCTGCACCGGTTACTGCAGGGCTCTCCCTCCTTAAAGAGCCCACGCTCACCGTGGGGGCCCCGTCACAATGGGCAAATCCAGAGCGACCGCCACGGCTTTGGGATGGCGGCAGCATCGTGCCCATGGCCACTGGGCACCCAGGGGTGCTCCGGGAGTGGCTGCGGGGGGACCAGCCTCTGCCCAGCCGGCTCGGGGAGGTCCCTCACGGGCTGCTCTTCCTCAGTGCCTTTGGTCCGGAGGTGGAGCATGCGAGGGGTCACAGCTCAACGTGGGCCATGGAACAGGGCGTCACGGCCACCTACGAGGAGTGGAGAGGGACCGACGTTGGCACAGCAGAGAATCATGGAATCCCAGAGTGGGCTGGAAGGGACCTTAAAGCTCACCCAGCTCCAACCCCCAAAGGCACGGGCAGGGACACCTTCCACTAGAGCAGCTTGCTCCACGGCCCTGTGTCTCTGTGCACTCCCAGGGCATCCTGGGGATACCCCCAGAGAATGCCTGCAGCACCTCCAGAGCTCCCCATGGACCCAGTCAGAGCTCCTGCATCACAATGACCTTGGGGACATGGAGACCACAGGGGTGGCTGATTCTGGAACTCCCCGTGTTCAGGTGTGTGAGGTCACAGAACCCCACGGAACCCTCCAGCAGAGGCACCGGGAGACGACAGCTGCCCCACGGAACACAAGCTACCGGTGGAGGAGGCAAGAGCAGCTCCTCTGGTGGTTCCCGTCTTGGTGTCTCGGAGCCGGTGCCGCCTGTGGACACAGGAGCGTGGAAGGAGGTGGGTGGCGATGGCGATCTTGGGGTGCTGTAGGAGTTGCCAGAACACCTCAAGAGACTTCCCCAGAGTGGCTGCTTTGGACTCGGTGTGTGAGTTGGGCTGGCTGAGCCGGCAGCGGAGCGCTGCGGCTGCCGAGGGATGATCCTGGGATCTGCCCTCATTTCTTGTGGGGAGAGCAAGGGCCTGTGGGGATGGGCCAAGGGGGAACGATTTTAACGTGACCGAGAGGGGAGATTGAGATGAGATCTTAGAAGTTGTTCCCTGTGAGGGTGGTGGGACAGTGGCACAGGGTGCCCAGAGAAGCTGTGGCTGCCCCATGGCTGGCAGTGTTCAAGACAGAGCTGAAAATGCCCTGACTCTTTCCTTGGTACATGATTGAGTTGCAGGTTTTATTCCATTTTTGGCTAAATCTGAACTATTTATGGAAGTTTCTAGCCTATTTTAAGCTTTTCCTAGCTATTTCTTAACTGGTTCAGGCTGTTTCGAACCCTTTTTTCCCCAATTCTAAAACTTTTTGAACCATTTTGACCTTTTCCAAACGTTTTTTGTCCATTTCTTACTAATTTCTTGCCATTTCTAACCAATTTTTGCTCTTTCCTGACTCGGTTTGAGCCATTTTTGGCCATTCCTAACCCAGTGTTGCCAATTTCTAACCCATTTTAAGTCTGGCTATTTCTAAAAGAATTATGGCCATTTGTATCCTAATTTTGGTCATTTCTTACCAGTTTTAAGCTTTTTTTTTGGCTATTCCTAGTCCATTCTTGCCTGCTTGTCCCCTGTTTGAAGCATTTTTTACCACTTCTAAACAATTGATGACCATTTCTATCTTATTTTTGCCCATGTCTTACCAGTTTTAAGCCATTTTTGGCAATTCCTAAAGAATTCATGGCCATTTCTAGCCTGGTTTCAGCTTTTCTTAGCTATTTCTTAACCGGCTTGAGCTATTTCTTGGCCCAATTCTAACTCTTTTTAAGCCATTATGGCCATTTCCAAACTGTTCTTGTCCTGTACTTACCAATTTCTTTCTACCCCCTTTTTTGGCCTTCCCTAACTTGGTTTAACCCATTTTTGGACCTTTCTGACCCACTTTAACTTCTTTTTGGCTATTTCTAAACAATGGGTGGTCATTCTCACCTTATTTTTGCCCATTTCCTTCCTGGTTTATGCCATTTTAATGCTAAATGCTTCACTTTTTTATGGGCATTTCTAGCCTGGTTTAAGCTTTTCTCACCTATTTCTAAACTGGCTTGAGCTATTTCTAACCATTTTTTGCACAATACTGACTCTTTAACGTCATTTTGGCCATTCCCAAACCATTTCTGTGTAGTTCTTACCAATTTTTTTTCTGTTCCTAACACAACTTTTGCCCTTTCCTGACTTGGTTTAAACCATTTTTGGCTTTTTCTAACACATTTTAGGTCTTTTTTGGCTATTTCTAAGCAATTGCTGGTAATTCTTATCTTATTTTTGCCCATTTCTTGCCGGTTTTAAGCCATTTTATGGCAATTTCTGAACTATTTATGGAAGTTTCTAGCCTGGTTTAAGCTTTTCTTACCTATTTTTAAACCGGCTTGAGCTATATCTAACCCGTTTTTGCGCAATACTGACTCTTTTTAAGTCATTTTGGCCATTCCCAACCCATTTCTCAACATTTCTTACCTATTTATTTCTATTTCTAACCTGGTTTTGCCCTTTCCTGACTTGGTTTAAACCATTTTTGGTTCTTTCTAACCCATTTTAAGTCTTTTTTGGCTATTTCTAAGCAATTGCTGGTCATTCTTGTCTTCTTTTTGGCCATTTCTTGCAGGTTTTATTCCATTTTTGGCTAAATCTGAACTATTTATGGAAGTTTCTAGCCTGGTTTAAGCTTTTCTTACCTATTTCTGAACTGGCTTGAGCTATATCTAACCCTTTTTTTTGCACAATACTGACTCTTTTTAAGCCATTTTGGCCATTCCGAAACCACTTCTGTCAGGTTGTTACCAATTTCTTCCTATTTGTAACCTGGTTTTGCCCTTTCCTGACTTGGTTTAAACCATTTTTGGCCCTTTCTAATGCATTTTAAGTCTTTTTTTGGCTATTTCTAAACAATTGCTGGTCGTTCTTACCTTATTTTTGCCCATTTTTTGTAGGTTTTGTTCCTTTTTTGGCTAAATCTGAACTATTTATGGAAGTTCTAGCCTGGTTTAAGCTTTTCTTACCTATTTCTAGACTGGCTTGAGCTATATCTAAGCCTTTTTTGCGCAATACTGACTCTTTTTAAGCCCTTTTGGCCATTCCCAAACCCTTTCTGTCCAGGTCTTACCAATGTCTTTCTATTTCTAACCTGGTTTTGCCCTTTCCTCCCTTGGTTTAAACCATTTTTGGCCCTTTCTAACTCCTTTTAATTCTTTTTTGGCTATTTCTAAACAATTGCTGGACATTCTTATCTATTTTTCCTATTTCTTAGTAATTTTATGCATTGTTGACTAAGTCTGAACTGTTTCTTGCCATTTCCAGCCTGGTTTAACCTTTTCCTAGCTATTTCTAATCTGGCTTGAGCTATTTCTAACCCTTTTTTTCCCAATTCTAACTCTTCTTAAGTCATTTTGGCCATTTCCAAGCCATTTTTTTCCTGTTCTTACCAATTTCTTTCTGTTTCTATACCATTTTTGCCTATTTCTAACCAGGTTTATTTTCTGTCTTAAATCTAAAACTGAAAGGTCAGAGTCTGATGGGAAGAGGGGTAAAAAGCAGAATTACGGGAATGCAAGAATTAACGTGTGGACGCTTGTGTCAGTTTTAAGCTCAGCAGGTCTGTGGCTGAACTGTGCCACAGCGTTTAAACTGTGATGCTTGGATCTAAATGGTTGTAATTCCTTGTCTTGAAACAGAGAGAATGTGAGGTCGAGGAAGGAGGTGTTGGAATGAGCTTGACTCAAGAGAGCACTGGGAGGAAGGAGGAGGAACCTGCAGCTGGGTAATACACCTGAGTGTGATGCACTCTGAGTGTGGTGAGTGTATCAGAGTTCAAAGGGTTTCATGTAGCTGCTAAGCAGCTTGGGAGAGAAGATGATAGTCCCACATGCCTTTAGCTCCTTTAGGGTGTGTGTTCCTCTAAGACTACTTGAAGATCAGCTTTGCCCCTGCTTTTACTGTTTCAATCTCTGATTTTGTTACTGAAACTTTATTTGCAGAGAAGAAGGTAGTTCAAATGAACTTTACCAATCCACTGCTGATCAGATGAGTGGCCTTCCAACAAGCTGTAGAGAACTTAATGGCCTTTTCAAACCAAAGGAGGACAAGCTTGAGAAGAGCTGGACTGAGGGCCCTGCAGTTCAGAAGCCTCAGTTCTGAGTGGCCAAGCCAGGAGAAGGGTGATGGGAGCTTCTGTTCAGTTGGAGACTGAAGGCAGTTTAGTTTAATTGCTTTTATTTCTTAGGATGAGAATGTGTTGAATTTTTCTTGCTTGCTAAATCAATAGAATCTCTCCTGATGCTGCTGAGACCGCAGTTCTGCTATTGCAGTGGAGGCAGCTTGCTTCAGAGCTGGGCTCTGATTTTCTAACTATGTCCTGTGTGAGTCCAGCAGCTGTGGGATCCCAACACCTTTGCTCCCCAGGATTGGTCTGAGCTTTTGTCAGTGACTGGTGATGTGTTTGCCCACGGTCATTGTTTTTTTTTGCACTGGCATTAGTACAGCTATGAAATAAAGAGCCATTCATTACATTCATAGTGCAAAGGAGCAAAGTGAAGGCTTGGCAAGGAGTGGCAGTGACTTTCGTCTCCTCTTTGTGTGCATCATGGTGCTGCTGGGGCCAGTGGAGAGGTTATAGGGGACTGGTTCAAAACATCTTTTCGGTTTCAACTCTGAAGGCTGCAGTGTGGCAGGGAGCCTGCAGTGTGCTGCAGAGCAGCCGCAGCACTGTTACAACCTTAGATTTCTTGTTTATTCATTTATTTAGTTACTAGTGTCTGTGTTTGATCCAGAAGTCTCATTGTTCTGCCTGCCTGCAGGCGGTTGAGGGGACTGGTGGTTCTGGCAGGCGTGGAGTGGGCTGCTGGAGACAGGGCTGTCTAGAAGTGGGCAGTGGGGAGGGAAGTGTTCTTGTCTGCAGCAAGTCCCCTGCTTCTTAGGTTGGAGGGGCTGCTGCCCCTATGGAAGGGTGCACCAAGTCCCCTTAGGCAGCTCAGGTGTTGCTTTGCCACAGAGGGGCCCGAGATGGGCTGGTGAGACTGCCCTGGCTGTTCTGTGGTGCAGGGTCTGTGCTGGCTCTGCGTTGTGCTGTGGCAGTCACAGGGGTGTTTCACACCGGTTCACTTTCTGACTGTGTCTGTATTAGTTTGGTTCATTATCCTAAAATCATAGAATCCCAGCCTGCTTTGGCTTGCAAGGGATCATAAAGCTCATCCAGTTCCAGCCCCCTGCCACAGGCAGGGACACCTTCCACTAGAGGTGCTTACTCCAAGCCCCATCCAACCTGGCCTTGAGCACTGCCAGGGATGGGGCAGCCACAGCTTCTCTGGGCACCCTGTGCCAGTGCCTCAGCACCCTCACAGGGAAGAACTTGTGGCTAAGAGCTCATCTCAGTCTCCTCTCTGGCAGGTTAAAGCCATGTTTAAAGATTTCAGTTTAGAGATGCAAGCTTGGAGCAGCCTGGTCTAGTAGGTGTTCCTGCCTGGCAGGGGCTTGGAACTGAATGAACTTTGAACCCAGAGCAGGCTGGAATTCTATGGAAAATGGGATTCTGTGATAAATGTAGTTATAGCTGGAGTTCTCCAGTAACTCCACGAGAGAAGAGTCAGGCCTGCAAAACCTAGTCATTCTAGGGATGACTGTTACAAGGTCTCCCCTGAGCCTTCTCTTCTCCAGGCTGAACAAGCCATCCTGCTGCAGCAGTCCTACAGTCCCTTCTCATATGTTCTGTCCTGCTTTGAGTTCATGGAAGCAAGTCCTTCCACAAATCACAAGACTTTTGTGGTTTTTAAAAGCCCTTTCTTGAAGACTGAGCAGAGCTAGGA